ACTTATAGAAGTCGTCCGCTAAACTCTCAGCAATTTGAAGGTAATATTTATTTATTGTAAATTTGTTATTAATAATAAAATCAAATTTATTATGAAAACAAATATTACCTCAAATTATAATAACAATAATGATGTAATATTGATATATTTTCTAAAAAATTTCTGATAGTAAGATGATACCAAGAAGACAAGAACCAATGATCTAATGTAATTTATTAAATTTATTTTCCAAATTTGTTGAAAAACGAAAAAATAAAAATTAAAAAACAGAAAGTAATGATATAACCCCAATATTTATTGACCCTATATATATATAGTCTTTCCAATTAATATGATGGCGTCACAGCCGGCATTAATAACCGTAGGAGCATAAAATGATCATGCAACTTCCTCGATACGCCAATATCATAAATTTCTCAATTGAAAATACACATTCTAATTTTTAAAAATATAATTTTTAAAAACTAATTTTATATAAAAAATTATTATGAATAAATACATAATTTAATTTCTGAAATTTCAATAGATATTTAACTCGATGTAATCTATTTAGGATATAAATATTTTGCATCTATAATCTTTTTTTAAAAAACAAAATTAGCAATTAATTTTTTAATAAAGATTGGGAATTAAAATTAGATTAGTCGGTGAATAAAATCGACAAGAGTCTTTTCCGTATAGAATAAGCGGCACCTGGGATTCAGTGAGGAAAAGAGAGCAAGCGTGGCCCTGAAGTCTCACCGAACCGATCCTCTGCTCGTTTATTTGTCTGCAAAACGCGTAAACTTCACACGTATGAGATTGCGAAAGAGCTGGCAATTTTACAAAGTCAAAAGACTGACGTGTCCCTGCCATCTTCTCTCCTCAATCCCCTGTCTCCCTGCCTATTCTTGTGCCGTTCTTCTCTACTCTCACTTTTCCACGCGCTCCTCATCTACGAAGGAGGCAGGCAGATAAGTTAGCTACTTGCTAGCTCCCGTGGAGTGAGAGGTTATGAAATGGAAAATTAATAGATTTTACAAATTCATATTTTTTTTCCCAAATTTAATTTTCGCAAATTTTGATATTCATAGAAATTTATATTTTATTATTTAATTAAAAAATAAAATCTAGAGGTTTAAGCGGCGTTTATAAATTAAGTTCAAGCGGTTAAAAAAAGATGAAATTAAAAAATTTCTACCTCTCCGATTGAGGTAGGTTTTCCTCTCATTAGAAAGAATTGAATTTGAGATCATAAGAAAATTAATTAAATGTATAAATTATAATCTATTTTTTCAAAATCCCTTTTTCTTTATTTATAACAATCTCAAACTCTTTCCATCATAATTGATCTCAAAGAATTTCTAATTAGCTTCTATTCTATTTTCATATAGGTCAAAATTCAAAGTCTTTGAACCTAAACATGCCCTATTCCACAGGCAAACTTCAATTACCTAGCCACCTTCCTGTGCATTTCAGTCTAACTTCCACTAACTTGTCTTCTCTAATTATGAAGTCAAATTCCCAGTTACTAAGTAGGGATGGCAACAGGTTAGATACTTGCTTAAAATGCATTATCTGAATCTGAATTCAATTATAAATTAGGTGTTCGAGTCCGACGTCACAAACCCGTTTAGAAATTTATCTTTGCTATCTGAACCTGTCCCAAATCAATTATAATTTCCTGTTTAAAAATCCGAATATGTTTAAATACCCATTTACCATTAAAAATATTTTTTATTTTATTTATTTTTTAAATAAAAAGTAAGTAAAAATTACAAAATTATTTATTTCGGTTTAATAAAAATATTAAATAATTATAATTTAAAATTAAAAAATTGTGTATATTTAATTTTTTATTTTAAAAAATAATTATTTTGAATATTTTTTGAATGTTTATTAAATAAGTAACGGGTGGTAAAAATACTATTTCATTCTAAATCCGCTTATTCACTGTTCGACCTGTTGAAATTGGATCGGGTACCCGACCGGATAAATTGCAATCGCTAGTCCTAAGTCCTAAGTCCTCAGTCCTAAACAACTTAATTCCATTAGACCAGACTAATAATCAGCGCGTGAGTCTTCCATTTCTTACATCATTTGACCATCATCGACTCCCTCTCCTCTGACTTTGTCAACTTTATTACCAAACCCTCTCATATTACACTTTGTATATAAATTCTTGAAGGCTAAGCAAATCAAACAGCCACAACTCATAAGATAACCCATTTTCCCTTTTCTTTACTTAAAAACTTTTGGAAAAGAAAACTCTCCTCCTCTCCAATTCTTGATTTCTCATTTCTTGATTTTTCAAATCTTGATTTCACGATATCTCCAATGGCAAAACCAGCTGTATTCTTCTTTCTTGTTATATCACTGTTCTTTTTTCTTTCTTCATCATCTGCTAGGTTACTGAATGACTTTATACCACAGAGCTTGGCAGCGACAGAACCAGCTTTAAATCTTGTACTTCCTAGCGAAAAGATCATCCATGCGAATCCACCGGAGAAAGATTCTAACCAGAATGTTTTACCATGTGATATGGAGTCAAACAAGAACTTCGATGTCAAAATTGGAACAAGACTCGCCGGAAAGTACTACGGACGGTCGACGATTTTTAATATGCTTCCAAAAGGGACCGTGCCATTTTCTGGACCAAGCAAAGGGACCAATGAGATAAAGAACTAGCTTGCTGTTCTTGTATTTGATACTCTTTCTTAATTATTAGTTTTAATAGTCTATAATTCCTTTCTTCTTTTTTTAATTTTTTTAACAGGTTTTAAGGTCAGTTCTGTGATGTTGTACATATTCATTACACAATTATAGGTTATTACAGAGAGTTTTTGAGGTTTCTTTTTTGTATTATTCTATCAATACAATTCAATCGATGGAAACAACATATTCATTATATATGAATTCTTTTTTCTTTTTCTTTTTCTTAATTAAATTGGAGTTCTGTTAAGAAAGATCCATTGACAAAGCTTCAACAATGGAAGGAGTTCCTATTCTCCGATGCCTGACATGAAACGAGTAGACCTAACTAGTAAATGAGCTACCATATTGGCAAAATCTTGAACAAAAGACTCATGAACATTCTTCAAAAGCTGAAATATATCGTTTTTATTTTCTTTTTGTCACGTTATGAATTTCATTTGAATGGTCTCCCTCAAAAAACAAGAAACAGCCTTTTTTTTTTATTTATTATTTTGATATTTTCAGAAACAATTAAAAGCAAAAAAAATACATTAGGTTGAAAATTAATTTGTCATTGCCTTTGATTTTCTTGTGCACCTGGTAGGCAATTCTTGACCCATCACCATGAAACCTATTGTTGCTTTCGAAGCAAGCTCAACTCTATTGTTTAAAATAATGTCCATACAAATCCTCGTGGAGCCATAAAAAAAATGTGCATATACACATAACAAGAGTTGAAATATGCATATATATATACATATATTTTCTAATTAATTATTTTTTCCAGATTAATCAAATATTAATTTGCTATTAGTAGATTCTTTTTCCTTAATCAAGAACCAGCTGATATACCCTGTGAAGTAGGCTAAAGGAAGTCCAAACTGGGCAGTCTTATATGTTCACGGATCATTTACGTGTTGTTTGGCCTTTTTGGAAGAAAAAGGTTAGCCATTGGACCATACATTGAACCAAAGTCCTCTAAAAGGTCAAAAATCTTCCATCTTTGTTCATAAAATCCCAATGCCCTCCAAATCGTGGCACTTCATCCCATCCATGATTATAATCTTCAAAGCCAACCAACCAAACAAAAATAAACTCTAATTTCTTTTGTATCTCCCTACCCTTTTTCAGTAAATTATTTACTGAATTCAAACGTGTTTTATTACTCGAGTTATTCTTTATAAATAATATGAAATTTATATATTACCGGCCGGTTTCCCATGTCTTGTTAATTTTTTTAATTATGATAAGTAATTATAAACCTTTCATATGTGCTTAGGCTCAAAACTTAAACCCTAATCAATAAAATAGAGAGAAAAAAAAATTCATTATTTAAATTGAAGTAATCTCTCATTAATTATGAAGTTAATTTCCAATTTATTCAAGAAAGGGCTCTTAGCCGCCGGCCATGACCCATGACCAAATCCTTCTCTTTTGGGGCTTCATTTTATTAGTAATTTACTGTCATTTTCATGGATAAACAAACATTGGAAGAAAATTATAATATGCATTCTCAAAAAAAATAAAATAATAATTATAATATGCAGTGTGTTCAAGTTATTTCAGGGAGTTAATTTGACTAAGCAAAAGAATAAATTAAAAAAAAATAGAACATGAAATCTATCTATATGAATATATTTTTTCTTGTACCTAATTTCTTGGATTCTACTTACTAAATCAAGAAACTATGACTGCCGTAATTTGACTGAGAGAGAACATAGGCTTGAATTTCTAGTATGGTGCACTACGCGTTCTCACAGATTCATTTACTCAGAAATTAATTGAAAAATTTTCCTACAAAAAAAAAAAAAATTTAAAAATTATCGGTTTGATGGTAATTTAAAATAAAATTATTCTGTAATAGAAAACGTAATTTCATAATCCAATTTTTCAATTTCTAATTGACTCTTGGATACAAATCACGAGAATGTATATTCTAATCATCAGGGACTCTCAAGCACACGAATTCTCTATAAATCGAAATACAAAATTGAGGGCTTGTTATTCAACAGTATAACATGACTTATATACCCGTTGTGCTAAAGTTTTCAATAAACCTTTTAAAATTAGTTAGTGGTTGAAATTATTAAAAAAAAAAAAAAAGCCACAAATCCAATTCACTTGCAGAAAAAGAACTGTTTGTGTTTTCCAATCTGTTCATAGACGACAAAGAAGTGTTTCTCTGTATTTAAGCCAAGTTTTGTGAGCCACGATTAAACATAATGTAATATAATTAAAAATATGTATATAATATAATATATTTTTATACTAAAAATGATTTTGTTTATATTACGTTATATTTCAATATGGTTGCAAAATTATAAAAATATTTAGAACTATAGGAATTTTATATTATTTAATGCATAAAAATGATAGTATGATATTGAAATTGCAATTTGGGCTTTGGAGCTCAAGAATAGAAGATATTGGCCCAAAAGTAAAAATACTCACTTGAAATGGCACCAATTTTTTTACCACGAAAGGACCTAATGAATTGAAATATGTTCAAGATCAACTATTAGAAATGATCGACCCTTTGTTTTTTTATACATAGGAGGCACAATGGACCATAGTATAGCGTTGATCTATGGACTAACATATACTCGTCCTCAATGGATGCATTATCAGAAGTGGAATATAAAGATGTAACATTTCCCTTTAAATAAGATTCACCAGATTAATGATGAATTTTGTGGTGAAGACTCAAACTCGAGATCTTTTATTTTCACATCTTCTGCAAAATGTAAGAAGATCTACAATGTCACACTTGATTTGCATGAATCTTATGCTTCATCCAAAAGTGATATGATAACATATTCGAGCGGTAATGCAAGCTTTAGACCTAAGAGTGAAAATGTTGAGCATTGAAATTTATTTAATTTAAAACTAGAACTGTAACACCCACTCCCTAGTCCTGATAGACTTGATAGCGGATGCCACATTCGGTGCCGGAGACACCGTCCTAATTTAACATATAAATCATAAATGTGATTAAATATTCATAAGTTTAGCGAGTAAAATTTTTTAATGATAATATATTTTTATTTATGAAAATTATTTTGGAAAAAATCCTACAAATTAACTGCAAGAGTTTCCCTTAAACTAAGCTTACAAAAAATGTGAATACCAAAACACTTCCTAATGCAAACTCCAACTCCCAACAACTCCAATAATAATTTAGCAACACAATAACACTTCTATATCTTCATAACTATATAAATCATCAATAGCATTTTAATATTCATCAATTAATTGCATTTATTATAAACATCAAGTCCTTATGTTCTTAATTATACTAACTATCTTAAACATATCTTATATTTAATCATTTAATAAATCTTATGCTTATCTCGAAATATATACGCAAAATAATTTATAATTACATGCATAAGTTATAATTCAAATAACATAATCTCCGAAAATGTAATAATTATGCATGTCATAATTCTTAATCACATAAATCTCAATCTACTACTATCAAAATAGTCTCTTCTGCTCTGATGTTACTCTTTTGGTCTTCAAACAGCAACCACAGTCTTTAACTTGCGTGTGATAAAAATCAACGCGCCGAGTATAAAATTCAGTGGTGCTCATAAATCACACACTTACCAATAATCATACTATTTATTTTAAAATCATGTACTGAAATATCATGCTTTGAAAATTCATTTGATAACATAATCATTTATTTCCAAACTAAGGTTTACTAAAATAAATAATATAATCTCATTCATTTAATTTCCTTCTAAGGTTTACTAAAATAAATAATATAATCTCATTCATTTAATTTCCTTTAAAAAAAATATTTACCAAGGGGCTCGCATATACTTAGGAGAAAAAGAAGCAGATAAATTTTCATAGCTTATTCATAGGGGCTTTAAGAGCCTATCATAATATATAGAGCGCGTCCGCCCTAACATAAGACACCCACGTGCCTAGCATATGATCGTTGTAACTTTTTATCTTAATGGCATCAAATGCTGAGCATGCTCATCTTACATAATAAATCAAATCACGCATCAAATTCACACTAAGTATATTAGAGCCCAAAATCCTTAATAAATCAAATCACGCATCAAATTCACACTAAGTATATTAGAGCCCAAAATCCTTATTTTATTTCTTAAGTCATAACATTTCTCATAAAACTTCTTTTTCTTTAATCTTCTTGAAATCATAATGGAAACTTTATTTAAACTTAAGTAATTTATGAAAATTCCATACTTAGGCACAATTACTTATCATAGGAAAAATTTCTCTTAAACTCATTCCTTTAAAAACTTTTCTTAAAGTCATATTAAGATTTATTATGAATAAAATCTTATCAATTAAATCATATTTTCCTAATGCAATTTAAAGCACATATACTTAAAAACACCCATTTCTCATAAACTTTAGAACATAGGAAAATTATCAAATGTATCATACTTATGAAATCTATATATATAGTATATGACATGGAAGGTCCAACATCACATAATGAGTGAAAATGTAAGTCTTAGCACCCTAGGGTGGTTCGGCCTCTTCATGAAGATCAAGGGGAGGAGGTTTCCTCCTTCATCAAGCATGCCGACACAACTCTTATACATCCAAATGACCATTTACAACCTCATCATGCATTATCTGAACCAAATCCACATTTTCCCACATTTTAACTTCCTTTAGTCATGAACAAGACTATGAAAGACAAAAGATACAAGGTAAATATTTCTACCACATACTAAATACTCATCAAACATCATTTTAAGAGCATAAACCAACAAAGAAAACAAGAAAAACTTAAACCCCTTTTTCCTTAGTAGGTTCGGTGTCTCTTGGAAAAAGAAGAGGAAGATATTTTCCACTTCAATCAAACATGTAGTCATGCTTAGAAATCATCCAAAAGCATATTTATACAACTAAAGTTCAACAATCAAATCATTTCATACAAAATTCAGAATTTTCACAAGTAGCATAAATTCACAAAAATCAAAATTCAAAGAAGGAAAGTGTATTTATAAACACTAACCTTAAAACAAGTTTTAGCAAGCTTAGATTAAAGCTCTCTAAGCCTTAACTTTGTCTTTCACCTTAGTAGAAGGTTCCCCAACCTTTGATTTAGGTAGAGAATCTCCAAATTTCTTGAAATTAATCACCCAAAATCACTACTCAAGCTCCGTTGTCTAAGAGTAATTACTTAATCAAGGTAAAATGGAGTGTATTTGATGTGTTTAGTGAGTAAGAATTGAAGAAAATCAAAAAGAAGAAGAACAAGGAGAAGACGCCTAAGGAAGAGGAGAAGAAGAAGAAAATGGTTGCTCAATAATTGAAGATTGACTTTTATAAAGCAACTAAAGGGTGTTTTGATCTTTTATCAAAATTGAGTGGCTAAGATTAAGTTAATGGTAATATAATCTAATAGCTAAAAATATTCTTCTAATTCCTTCAAAATATTATTTATCTCCACAAAAATGTTAAAGTCACTCCATAAAAATAATTCCTCAAATTTCCTTAATTAGTAAAACACCATAATTTACTATTCTCAAATTATCTAAATTTTCCAAATAAATTCATTACTTACTTTCTATCAAAAAAATAATGTATATATACTCTAAAAATATTAAATAAAATATAAAATATAAATAGTAATTTTTTAGACCGAAATAATACTGATTTCTAAATCAGTGGTACTATTCATAAATAGATAAAATACTATTTTAGAAAAAAACAAAATGAGGCGTTACAAAAACTAAAAACAAAAAACAAAAGCAAAACAAAAAGGATAAAGAAGTAAAGATAAAGAGGGCGGTGGGTGGCGCACCAAATACTGTGGTGGTTGGCGCACCAAATAGTCAAATACTATCAGCCTAGAAGAATTGAGAAACTCATTTGGGCCCCGAGGCAGAAAGTATGTGGATGTGAAATGGGGTGAAGCCCCTATCAGCTTAGATTGTGTTTTAGGTGACCAAACGAACTTTTGTTTGGACCAAACAAAATTCAATCAACTACCTGTCAGCAGAAACCTGCGAGTCCAACCAAGAAATTCCTCAATTAGACTGATTAGATTTTGAACAATATATGGCCAATCAAATCTACAAGTACGTCACGTAACTAAAATCTTTCCAATCTATTTAACTATTTTTTACAGTAATTATTATAATTAATCAGCCTAATCCTTGTGATATACAAGATCAAAGTCTAAATTTTCATTCTCTTAATTATATTTTATTAAATTATTTATTAATATCTTGCTTTTCATATTGCCACAAATCTACAAATGCTTTTCTTTCTGAAGGAAAATTTATTAAATACTAACTTCCTTATCCTCTGAGACATAAAAAGGTAACCTCTGAGACATAAAAAGATATTATTAGTTGTTGTTTTCATTATATGATAGAGAAAGTGCATTGATTTAGCCGTTCAGGCAAATAATTTGAGATGTGGTCTAGCAAAGCATTATCCACTTTAATTTAAAATCTAATAAGGAATTAAATATTGGTGTTCAGTGTAGAATAATCCAATGCTGACCTGGCATTTGCTGAACCTTGAAGTTATAAAGTTTCCAAGTTCCAACAACCATATTTTTTGTCTTTGTTTCCTGTCTCTGTGTTGCTTAAAGGTAAAAAATTTCCAATACAAGAGCTTTGAAGATCAGAAGAACATAGCTCAAAGGATAATATTCATTAATGGGAAAGAGCAGCAGTGTTCTTTTTTTGTATTTTGTGAGTCTTTCTCTATCTTTATGGGTAATTCAAGTGGCAATTGCAGCAAGAGAAGGATCTTTGTTGCAGAGCTATGAGAAAGGGAGATTTGGTTATAGCAAATCCTTTCATACCATTTTTGATACTTCCAAATATGGGATTTTTCAGCTCAACAATGGATTGGGTCGAGCTCCTCAGATGGGGTCTCTCTCTTGTTTCTTTGTTTTGTATCATATAAAGTGATGATTTTTAACTCTTTTTTTTTTTTTTTTTTTTTTTTTTTTTTTTTTTTTTTTTTTTTTTTTTTTTTTTTTTTTTTTTTTTTGCCAAATTTGCAAATATTTATATTGTGGTTTTTCAATATATCGTGTGTTTTGAAGGGATCAGGTTGTGTTTTTGCGTTATTGATCAGGGATGGCTTAGTTTTTTTATTGATGACAAATGCAAAGTTTTTCAGCTTTTTTTTTTTTTTTTTTAATTCTATATTTTGGGTTTCGATTTTGTATTCTTACCCGCGGACCTTGCAGAGGGAAATTTTTTTTTTTTTTTTTTTTTAATTCTATATTTTGGGTTTTCGATTTTGTATTCTTACCCGCGACCTTGCAGATGGAATAGCTGGAATTTCTTTGCTTGCAATATCAATGAAACGGTCATTAAGCAAACAGGTGAATTTGATTTCTTGTTTTGATGTCAAGTTTTTGGCTTTCTTTGTTGGTGTTGATTATTGACTTTTATATTATTACTTATGATAAAAATGAAAATTTATAGACACTTGATTTATTTGGGGTCCTGATGAAAATGAGAGTAGTTAGAATGGTGGCGGAAAAAATTACAAAGTTGAGTTGCTGTGGTTGGTAAAGGAATATAGGAGTAAAGTTGAAAGCGGAAAGAGGAAGAGGAGAAGAGGAAATAATAACCTTGAGTAGAGGGCCAAAGAAGTTTGCAACATTGGTTTCTCCTTTTCAATAATTTGGAAGCCCTCGCGTCTGTAAAGTCTTAGACACAAATATGCTTAATTGATTACTGAAGAACAAATGATTATGAATCGGTGATGTATTTTTGGGTGTAGAAATATGTTTATGCATTGATACCCCATTTGTGGTCCAATCAGATTTTGCCAATCGCACTTTAAAAGGGTTGTTTTCTTTATGGCATTTACTTGATGAAAAATGATGAATATGTGTTACTGACATTTGAAAGAATGCATTCTTGAACACAATTTGGTCAGTTATTACTACTTCTTGAAATGCTATAATGTTATTCTAAATTGAATATAGATGGTCCTAGGAATTTGTAACTTTTCTGTTTTTACCTTTGATCATGAACTTCTTTATGAATACTTAATGTTGAACTGTATCTTGGGCAGCTGATGCACTCGTTTCAACTGGATTGGCTGATTTAGGTTATGTGTATATCAACATAGGTACTGTTCCTTTGTTTTTTTTTTTTTTCAAGTGGTTTGTGTTAGCATTTTGTTTCTCTTTTAAGCTTATTTGAATTTATTGGATGCAGATGATTGCTGGTCTGCTTCAATGCGAGATGCAAAGGTCAATTAGATCATGTTTCCCTTTGCGCATTATAGTTGTTATCCTATAAGTTGTAACAGCTATTGCCGACCTTTTGATTTGTGGGGAACACATTTATATTTGAAATAATATTCACTATTTTTTGTTAGTTTTGCAGACTGCTTTCTGAGTTTTGGCTTTCATTGAATTATCAGCTTCCAATGGGAACATTAAAACTTCATTATCTGATGATTTTATAGAGTTCAATTGTACAAGCATGTTAATCATTATATAGACCACCTGAAACTTCCAATAAGAAGTGACTTGTTTGCACAATAAAATATAGACTAGTAATCTGATAACAGACCCCTGACCTTCCCACACAAACCAAGAAAAGAATGAGCACATAAGTGGTAAAATTGTGAAAGTGTGAATAATGTCAAATTCCTTACTATGACTTGGTTTTACAGGGTCAATTGGTCCCTGATCCAAAAACCTTTCCATCGGGAATCAAAGCTCTTGCTGATTATGTACATGGGAAAGGCCTCAAGCTTGGTATCTATTCTGATGCTGGGTAGGATAAACTTTCAGCATTTATTCAGAAGCTGGAAGATAGATCATTCGTCATGATCAATGTTATTTCAATCCCCAGTCACTCCTTGGACTCACCTTACTGCATTTCTATAGGGTTTTTACATGTCAAGTTCGACCAGGGTCACTTTACCATGAGAAGGATGACGCAGAACTGTTTGCTTCATGGGTTAGTTTCTGTTCCTGTGCTATATATATTGATTAAAAGTCTTCCAATCATTTACTCCTTTATTACTGATTGCAAATCATCAAATTGCTTTATCTGTTTATGCTGTCTTTTTGAAGCAGTTGATGAGAAAATCTATCTTTTCAAAAGTAATCTCTAGAAGAATTATAATAATGGAGGAGTTAGCTGAAAATCTCAACCCCTGTATCATCACTTAGTTTCAGGGTTGAAAAATTGAATGTCTGTTTGTTTCAAATATTTAAATGATCTCTCACTATGAAACACACCAAATTTTGGCATGAAGAATTTGAAATTGACAATCTCCATATGTGCTGATTTTCTTGTCAATTAAACATTTAATATCAAATAATAATTTATCATGCATCAGGTCACTTTAGGATGCCCTTTTATTTTCGGGTCATAGTATTATTTGAGGGCTATTACCTTGGGCTAACGCTTGATGTTAAATCATCAGGGTGTGGATTACCTAAAGTATGACAACTGTTTCAATCTGGGCATTGAACCAAAGAAAAGGTTTCATCACCATCTTTATCTTATTTAAGTTGTCAAACAACCTTTTCTAAGTACTTTAAACTTTACTTGTGTAATTTGATAATTTCCAGGTACCCACCAATGCGTGATGCTCTGAATGAGACTGGACGGACAATTTTCTATTCACTCTGTGAATGGTAAATCAGTTGCTTTATCAATTTCTATAAATCTCCTGTTTTATACTATATTGTCATGAGAGAAATTTTGGCCCTTCTGTTTTGTTTTGCTCATTGACAGGGGTGTTGATGACCCTCCCTTATGGGCTGGGAAAGTTGGAAATAGTTGGCGTACAACAGATGACATCAATGACACATGGGCAAGGTTAATTTTTCTTCACGCAAAAATTTTATTCAAAATTTCATGCCTAAACAGGCTTCAATATCTGGTTGAAAGGATTTAGCAGCTTTTTTCTAGGTAATATTGAACACTTGTAAGCATGATTTCCTTTTCCATTCCAGCCAAGAAAAAGAGCAGTAACTTCTTGAACTACTGAATCACTATACGTACATGCTTCATTTCAACAGGAATACCTGCTTAGAATCTCATAACTGAGAAGTGGAAAGAAACAAGTGGAATTATTATTTCAAAAGATGAAAAATAATAATAGAGGACCATTGGTTGCTTTGCTACTTAGTCACCTAAAATATCTGGCTTTTGTTGTAAGAAATTGGCCTCTTGGCAAGAAAACAATCCATAACAAGGATATACTGATTCAAATAATTGAAGACCTAGGATAACCCTGTAAGAATGCATCAAAAGAAATCATTTGGATCAAAAGCATATTTCTACGTTTAGTTTTGCTGGTTATTATCCGATGATGCAAATTAAAAATATAAAGAATATATTCTACTTTGATGCAGCATCTTTTCATGTCTACAGTATCTCATTGCCATCAGTTTGATGTTTCTATAAATTGATTTTGGTTCAAAGATTCTTTCCCGAAGGAAAAGCATGTGATTTAATTGCTGGCTGGAAGCATTGCCATGATTATAATTTGGTCTTGATATCTTGAACAAGTTATTAGCAACTGCAACTGTCTATTGTATGCCATGTTTTCAACTAAAAGTTGTACAAATTATTAGCAACAGTAACTTTCTATTATATGCCAAATTTTCAACTAAAAGTTGATTGTCATACTGATTAACTCTTGTTCTTTATTGTTAAGCATGACCACTATAGCCGATGTCAATGATAAGTGGGCTACATATGCGGGACCTGGTGGATGGAATGGTAAAAACTTGATCTTTTTTAACATGTTGATATGATGGATCAGCTTTATTTCCCAGACCGTTTCATCTTATTTGCCATGCAATTTTTCCTCGGTAGATCCGGATATGTTGGAAGTTGGCAATGGAGGCATGACTTACCAGGAGTACCGTGCTCATTTTAGCATCTGGGCTTTGATGAAGGTCTCTCTATGTAATCTGTTTCTTTCACTCATTTAGCTTTGGATTTATGATTGAATTGGCAAAATATTCTTTACTATTTAGTTTTTTTTTTTTTTTTTTTTTTGCAAAATATTCTTACTTATTTAGTTTTTTTTTTTTTTTTTTTGAAGTTTTTAATAGTGATGTCACGTAAGGCAAATATTTGTATAAGGGAAAATCTTGAGAAGAGCTAAGCCAATGAAAAAACAAATTATCGTGAGTCCATTCCTTATATTTTCATTAAGGCGTTGTTGATTTGAATTGAGTTTACGGTTCAGAAGAACTATGCTTTTAGTGTCCAGTTCATAAGAACTATGCCGACTTTCCTTTGACCCTTTTTGCCAGTCTGATTAGGGAAATCATTAGTTGCCCTTCTGCTCTGGCCTGATCTTTTAATTGCTTTATGACTATTTTTTTTTTTTTTTTTTTTGAAGTTTTTATATGATGTCACTAAGCAAATATTTTATAATGGAAAATCCTTGAGAAGAGCTAAGCCAATGAAAAACAAATTATCGTGGAGTCCATTCCTTATATTTCATTAAGGCGTTGTTGATTTGAATTGAGTTTTACGGTTCAGAAGAACTATGCTTAGTTTCCAGTTCATAAGAACTATGCTTACTTTCCTTTGACCCTTTTGCCGTGATTAGAAATCATTATTTGACCCTTCTGCTCTGCCTGAATGCTTTAATTGCTTATGACTAATTTATATAAAAATGTTACTCCATGTGTGTTAGATGTGTATGCTGAATCTGAAGTCTGAACTTTTTAGTCCATACATTTATGTGGAACTTTTATGTGCAGGCCCCTCTTTTGATTGGTTGCGACGTAAGAAACATGACAGCAGAAGCTTATGAGATTCTAACAAATAAGGAAGTCATTGCTATAAACCAAGGTGAATATATGATTTCAATTTATCTTTCCTTGTGCAACTTGCTTGGCATAATTATTTCACTTCCCATTTTGCTTTTAGCAGATGTCTTTATGAATTACTGCCTTTTCCACCTTTCATGCCTGTAAAACTAAGCAAACAAGGGTTTTTTGATTCAGATCCGCTTGGTGTTCAGGGAAGGAAAGTTCACACTGTTGGATCTGAAGGTTGCCAACAGGTCATGCCTCTTTTATCTATTTAAATTTTACAATATATTTGACTGAAATTACACCTAAGTTAGGACTCAGAAGTTGAACATCTCGCAGTCAAATTTGTGTTATATTATTCATGCTTTCTGATTGACAAGCAGAATCATCCTGCCCTTTCATGGGGCTTTAATAGAAATTTTTTTTTTCTGCCATTTGTTGTATCCATGGAAGTTCAGCAGTTGCTATGTGCACAAATCAGGCTAGCTCTATAATTTTATGACATTTATGGTTTAATTAAAGCATATGTCATTAACTACGTTTGTTGGTTTTGCTACAACTTGAACAAAGACCAAGCCTACCCTTATCTTTTTTAATTTATCTCAGTAATTGCCATTATTTTCCAGGTCTGGGCAGGTCCTTTGTCTGGACATCGCTTGGCTGTTGCTCTCTGGAATCGTTGTTCAAAAAAGGCAACAATTACAGCTCCATGGGATGCGCTTGGGCTCAAATCTGGCACCAGCGTGTCAGTGCGAGACTTATGGCAGGTGGGGAAACTGAATTGCTTTTACTTTTAGGTAGATTTTGTTGGTCTTAGAAGGCATAAAACAACAGTCTCAGTCCTCAGACACCTTAAAAACCTTGTCTTAGTCATTCCTAACTGGCATTATCAGCCACAAAACCTGCAGGACTTGTCCTAGCATTTTTCTTGGCAGCATCCTACACAAATTATGGTTGTGTCTAATATTATTAGAACCATTTGAAGTCTTTAATATTTTAAGTATCACTAATAACTTTTTCCAGTTTTCTGATTTCGATATTTCTCCTTTGCAATGTTGTGCTTTATTGTAATTATCAAGTTGCCATTAAACTCTGGCTTCACTTGGTAACTCGAGACAAATATATTTCATTTGAATCAGCATTTTAAGAATTCAGATAATATTAGTACTCTTCCATTGTCTAGTTGGAAGAAAATATGCCAAATTATACTCACATATTATCATAGCAGTCAAATATTTACCTAGATATTTCTTTGGAGCTGACCTGAGTTTTTAGCTTCTAAAACTTGGTTTTAAAATTTTTTTTTTTTTTTTTATCCCTTTTATCTTATGCTTACTTAAGATCATTTTGGTTTGCAGCACAAGGATCTTACAGGAGATGCAGTGGCATCATTCGATGCTCGGGTCGATGCTCATGACTGTGCAATGTACATCTTTACTCCCAAGATACTGCCATATTCTTCTGAGATTTAGATTATCGTCCGTACAAGTTGGAGTGTGATTCAAGTGCATGGGGGGTGATCCTACTCTTGCATTCCATAAGCTGCACATTTCTGCATTTTGAAGTCCCTTTGAAGATGAGAAAAAAGGGTGTGAATATGTCAAAGCCTTGCAGTTGTTATATGCAATAAAAATTACAATAGTAGAAGTAACACTATAATCTTGGCAATCAAGTAAATAACCACTTGGACTTGAATTTCTAAGATATTTCTTTGGCATGTATAAAACTTAAATTCCAGTGCTATATTCACCTTTTAAGTGAACCGCAACAAACTGACCTGATTTACATCTTTTATCATTTTGATTGGTTTGATCCATGATTTTACAATAAGCCAAGCAAATCAAATCAAACCAGATCATAATTGTTATGTTGATAACACAGAACCTGGTGATTCAGGGAATCAATTTAATGTCCATGCAACAATGCTTATATATGACCAAGGAAATCTGAAAAGCTTTACTATATTTAAAGAAGAAAGCAGTACTAGTCACATTTACTCTTCTGAGCTGGAAGGGAATAACTTTGCATTAACTTAAAATGCTTTTGAGAACTGGGCTTGGCAGGGAATAAAAATGCCATCGAGAAAATTGCATTTAAAACATCTTTCCTACATATAATCGCCCAAAAAGGGTGAAAAGGTTGACAAAAGCCATCCAAGAGTTATGCTCTATACTTTCTGTATTTTGCTTTGGAGAAGGGGGAAAACCAAAAAACAGAATCAATGTTGTATATAAAAGCCTCCAACAAAGGGGTGTTGCTACTCAGCTAATGATATATGTCAGGATAGTGCACCAGTCTTTCTAATTTACTGCTGGTTCCATCCTTCTACCTATAGCCGTTTTCCCTAATGTTCTGATTGTATTTCTTGTCTTAGAATCCTGCAGTGCGAAACGGAGTAAAATTTGAGAATATTGAGTTTGGTCTATACAATGATAGTACACCAGGGAATGCCATACATACCCTTATCAGTCTCTAATGGTTCTTGTTGCTTCAGCACTCCCACTCTAGGGATAGCCTGCATCATCTCCAAAGTGGTTGGAACTCCAGAATCCGGTTGCTTTTGCACTGACTGATGAGGGTTGTGCCACTGGCAATTTTGGCTGTCTGAAACTCCCAAATTGAATACCCGTTGAGGAAGAGCATTCCTTAACCTGTGGGGATTTCGACATTGGCTGACAGGACTCGCTGATTTCCAACGACACGAATTTATTATGGCAGGGAAGAAGAGGAAATTGATCCAGTGAAAGATTCAGCCTGCTACTATTCTCACTCTTTTCTGTGCCTGGTTTGAATGAATCTGGAGAAAGATCAAGGCAGCAACCGTTGTCGCCCTTTCCCTGTGGGTCATCCCCAACTTCTTCAGCCTTTCGAGGTGATTTTAATCGTCTATGAGTTGGAGAATCTGGATTCCTCACCCTCATCCATGATAGCAAATCTTTGTAAGGATGATGCCTCTGCAAAATGCAAGCATTTTTTTCTTTTTTGGTCACTGATTTTTAACTGTTTAGGTTTATAGCAAACAAACCGTTCAATTGACAGATCAGAAAAAAAAACAGCAAAATTTAGTTATACCACATCAGGGATGTATGTGCCCGTTCCTCGTGACTTCCCCATTTCATCAATGACAGAAGTAGTGGCACATATCTTTGACAGATAAGGGTGCAAGATTGGCACTACTGGGGCAAATAAAGTTGTGCCTCTTTGAGGAAAGACATGCTGCTTGCATTGCAGAAATTGAGACAGCGTATCCCCAGTACTTGTCTGCTGGAATTCAGAAGGTGATGACGGGGGACTGATCTGAGTGGGTAAATGAAGTGAATAATTATGATACCACTGGCCCATTATTAGACCACTGTAGCAATCCTCATAGTCTCCACTGAGATCAAATGCCTCAGATCTTCCAGTGCCAAATGCAGGTACAGGAACTTGTACATCTGGCCTTTCTCCCCTCCCACTTCGATCCATAGTATTTCTGAAAAAATTCTCCAGTTTTGCACCCATGCTTACTCCTGGTAACACAAGGATTTCTCCAAGCCTCTGATACCCATAGGCAAGGGCACATTTTATACGATGAAAATTGCCTGGAAGAAGATAGATTGATTTGCATGAGGTAACTAGTTCAAAGCATTAGTAATTACGCAACAATTTCAAATATTCACACTGCAAACATTAAATGGATCTTGAATTTAATTCCACATTTTCAGATAAATATTGCAATGAAATCATGTACATATATCTCTCTCTATTTATATGACATTACGTGCATGCACATAGGTGTAGATACAAATGTACACATGTTGCAAACCATCAGAAAATTTTCATGTATCTTAGAAGCATGGAAGATCGTTAATCCTTTTTTTCCCCCGACATTCATGTATCGTATGAGACACTTATTTTTGTTTCACAACTAGAAGCTGATGTAAAAATTGGCGCTAGAAGTTGACATGCAAATTGCTCGCCAATACACAAGACCAATTGTTCTTTCACAAGAGTAAGAATTCCCACGTCTTTATAGGAAGGCTCATTATTTACAGATACCATGCAGTAACCTTCAAAATCTAGATTTTCAACAAGTATTGCTTCAGTGTGTATCATTAATAAAATACCTTTGCTGACACTACGCCCTAGGTTGTTCCCATTTTTTAAAGGATCCAATATGTTGAGATACTTAATAGGAAATTCATGGCCCCCACTCTCAACTGCTCTTATTGGAACTGAAAATTTCTCTTTGCAGTTCCTTATGAACTCCGGACTGATCAATAGCTCATTCCCATTATTATCTTGTGAGTTAGCTGTAGAGAGCACAAGAAAGAGAGACATCAAGCAAATGCTTAAACTGGTAAGACGATTTCATCATGCATTCTAATTATGCTTACCCACAATCTCTGGAAGGGATGATATCTTAACAGGACCACTAATGCTGACGCAATAATTTTCCCAATCAAAAGTGCTGTAGTAGTCCAAAAATCTATATAATACCTGTTAAAAAATCAAAGTTAGCTCAATCATTCAATCTGCAGATGCACAAATGAAAATCTGAAATGAAAATACTTACTGCTAAAGGACCAGGTAATGATGAATGGAACATGTTGATGATACACAACACCAATATTTCTAATGCATACGTTGCGATCAAACCATGGTAAGCCCCAAGAATTCGGCTCTCATAAAAACACCAGGATTTTATCAAAATAATACTATGCTTGAGAAGATGATCCTTCCCGATAAGCCAGTCAATCTAAGAAACAGTCAGCGCCAAAAAAAGTCAAATAGGTAAAAGAAAGTATACTGACTGTTTTCATGTCAATAAAAGATGTGATGAGACTTAAACAATAAGGCCAGGATAGTCGCTTGTAATAAATAACCATCAATGCAAGGTCTTTATGCCATCAAACAATCACAATGAACCGAGAAAAGTCTGAACTCCCACATCCTCATTCATTTTGCTGTCCTCTCTGTCCCACTCTCTCTCCCCCCCGAACAGTATAACAGATGGTCAGAGGTAATATTTATTGAGGAAAACAAGTCGCTCCATCATTTTGGGCCTGAGGTTGTGTAGGATAGTACCTGCTCCAGAAAGCAAAGAGTGCAGAGCCCTTCCATTTGATTAAAAGAGATATCAACTGGTATATTCCTCATGGAACATTTTATGATCTTAACCTGTCATCCAAATTCCAACTTTCAAACATTGTACATGAAAAAAAATTAGCTTTATTTTTATACAAAAAAAAAAAAAAAAAAAAAAAAAAAAAAAAAAAAAAAAAAAAAAAGATTGAGCATCACTTCTGTTAGATGAGTTGCAAAGATAGGTAGTTTTAAATGTAGCTCAGCAAAATATCATAGAACTTATATATATTAGACATGATAATGAATCCCACATCTAGACCTGCAAATAGCTTCCTTTTGCATATATTTATTCAAACTGAATCATATATATGCTTTACTTTCTCTTCATTTTTAAGGTGAAACGGCCAGCACCTGAATACTCTTCTCATGTCTTCGATTGAGTTTTGAAACCCCACTTCCCATAAAAGGTAATAATCATGAACTTCTGTTTCTATTTTGAATAATATCTTATGTGTCAGAGACTTCATTGTCACCCTAACTTTGAGGATGAGAGGACTAATGACCAAAAGTTTAATAGAAGAATAAGTCATCATTATCAAATTTGCACAAGAAGAAAATGCACATTACACCAGATTTAAATGATCGTGTTTTTCTTTTGGTTCAGAAGATATGTACGATCTTGACATAAATAATGTACTTTCTTTAAAATGCTGATGTCCTCTCATTGATGCCTTGTCAACAAATGTCATAACCTTTCTTGAAAGTTGTCGGTATCTAGAAGCTTTTTACATACCATGGCTCCAAATTTGATAGCATTTAAAAGTAACAAGCGTTTATGTCAGGAAACAATTTATCAACCACCTAGGTAAAGGGTCTCAGCTTGAAAGAATGCCATACTCATTTGGTGTAAGGCAGAGAACCGGTAAAAAAACAGTTAAAAGCATGTTGAAACAAAGCAACACAAAGAGGAAAAGAAAACACAAAAAGAACACCACTACAATCAAACAAAGGGCAACAAAGAACAACTACCAAAATAATGTGATAATAAATATCATGACTTACGACAAAAGGATTAAAATCAAGAATTTTAACCTGTGCTTGAATATACTGGACATCTTTTACTTCAGACATAGGGTGCTGCTCTTCATATTTGAGCATGTTGTAGACTTCTCTAGCCAAATCTTCTTCCATGTTTTGATAGCTGAGGACAGTTAGATCAATATCTCCATCAGGAAGATAAGTTTTCAGTGGCACTGAACCAGATGGAAAGACCTGTAAAATTGCATGGCGTCAGGTTAATTCACAGCCACTGTAATACCCGCTCCACAAATTAACAAACACGTCATAAATCCTACTCATTTAAGCCTCTATGTGCGAATGCAGCCAAAAGTCAAAGGGATCCTTCAGATCCTCAGAATGATGTTCAACCAGTTGGCATAAATGAACAAATTTAAACGACTTTACATATAAGGCTCTTTAATGCCACATAAAATGAATCTAAATGGCTAAAAGACAATCATACAAAATTGCTAAAAGCAGAATGCCACGTAGCATGAATCTAAAATGCTATAAAAATATACAAAACCGCTCCTAAATTCTCAGCCTTGAAACACTTTTTTCGCTGCATGGCAATCAGGTGATAACGGCATATTGCATGATGATACGTGTATTGAGTAGGGGCGTTCACATCGGGTTGCTGAACATGATCCAATTGAAAAGTAAAATATGCTGTCCATTTATTTTTTCAATACGGCCTTTATTTGCACAGACATTATTAAGGCTGTCATCATAGTAACTTGTGAATGCATCGGGTCCTTGGTTTTTGATTTGAACAGCCCTAGTACTGAATTAGGTTAGTTTTTCCCTTTAAGCTAGAGAGTTTATCAAATGCCAAAAATACTTGCTTTTAGGTAAACGGATGAGTTTGCCCACCACATGCAGAAGGCGGAACCAGTCAAGTCAGATGGAGATAAAGCACATGCTTGGTAACAGAAGGAAATGCTCAAATACAATGCAGGACCTTTCTGATATATTATCTAACTGAACTTTCAAAGCAAAAAATTCATGGGAAGGCCCATTTAGTCATCTTTCAGATAAATAAATGACCAAAGATCAACTACAGGAGTTCAAATCCTTATGGCTCCAACACCTAAAAAAGCAAATATTTAATGAGTTCCATATCATAACTAATTTCTTTGCCATTCCACACAGAAAATTTGACAACAAACTTTCCTTTGAAAGAGAAATTCAGAAAAACATATAGAAATACCAACGAGAAAACAACAAAATGCGAACCCTCTAATATAGTGACTGAAATTTTCTAAGATCAACTCTGCTAGAATAAAACGGAGGGAGATTACATGAAAGAAAAGAAAAAGAAACTACTGCATTCAACATTTCCTTCAAAGAAGAAATACATAGAATAGAACGTGGGCACTTCTCACCTCAGTTGCATAATAACCCTTAATTAATCTCCGGATATAATCAATGACCTCCTTCCTCTTCTGCTCAGAAGCCAAAGTAGGTTGAATAATCCGAAGTATCTCTTGGATCCTTTGCTCAGCCATTAGCCACAGTTCTGGATCAATTGATAATGGGCATAGATTAAGTGAAGAGGAGGAAAAGGTGGAAGCGGAGCAAGGAGGCAAACTCCCTTGAAGATCTCCCATTATCAAAAAATGAGCTGAATTTTCAGTTCCAAAACAAGGAACTTAGGATCCCTCAGCAGTGCAATGCCCCATTGATAATATCCTCAATTGATTGCATATAAATTAGTACTGGAACAGTTAGAAATTAGAAGTTTAAATAAAATAAATGGGATAAGCAGAAAGTAAGGCAAATTTACTAAAGCTGACATAAAGTACAGATTTGGGAGGAAACATGATGAGTTTAGATACACTGATAAAGCAGCAGAAACAACCTACTATTTCTCAAATTAAGACCGAATACAGAAACAAAAATCGGCTGGTTGGTGCCTTAGAAACAATTGAAAATAATTCCATGTCGTTTCCAGACTTCAACACTCTTTCACTTTTTGAAAATTTTATAAGAAAAAAAAAATTATAAATGCTGTCCTATACTAAGTAAAAGGGGATCAGAAATAATTACATTGGGATTTTGTAGAAAAGGTAGGACATTTGGGTTCTGCGTGGTAAAGGACCAAAGGAGTGAGATTACCATTTTAACATAAATGAGACTAGATTTTTTTGAAGAAAAGAAGTGAATGAAATCCCCAGACATGGACAAAAATAAGTAATGGGGACGAATGCGATATTAACAAGAAAAAGAGAAGTTTTCATCCCTAACCCTCTCTTCCCTTTTAAATTTGAGAGAACTCCATAATGGAATAGGTAGATTAGCATAACTGAATGTCAAAGAGATGAATTTCATAAGAACAAATTTTGCTGTTAATGGAGTCTTGTTATCCAGTAGAAAATGTTTGAATTAACCTTCGTAGCCAGAAAAAGAAGAGTCCTTCCTGTCAAACATTGGCAAGATTCTGTTAACAAAGTGGTTTTGTCTTCATTAATAGGCCAACACAGAATGCAAGACAAATTGCAATAAGATCAAACAGTAAAGTGGTATTTCCATATTTGCTTACAGCATAATAATTTTTTCTTTTTCATGATAATCGATTTCTCGCTATCTAATTCTAGCTTCTCAATCCAGATCCCGTGTGATTCAAAAATGTATAGAAGTAAATATCGATAATATCTCCATTATTAAATTCTAGCTTTCTTCCTAGATATCGCCTAGTAATTGCATTTATTGCATAAAGACAAATTGATTTTGCCCAATGCTTAGGTCATTCATCTCCTGGAAAACTGACAGACACCTTGCACAAAAGCTCTTACAAAAAGCTTAAGCTGTTTGGTAAATTTCAAAATCATTCTGGGATCCAGGTATTGACCAAAACAAGGGGCTGTAAAAGTCAGAGCTGGATTCATCGTCGGCATTCTATAGCTCAGATTAGCTCATTGAATATTTGACATCAAGATGATTTGGTAAGTATGTTGTATGGAAAAATTTTCATGAAGCAGAAGTGTTAGTCAACATACAAATACAAATGTAACATGTTGACCATGAGTTAAAGTTGTACTCAGTGGACCCATCTGATAAAGCATATTTCTTCCCAATAATAGATTGTTTCTTTCCAATTAAAGCAACCATTTGCCTGAAACATTGAAGTATAACTTTGATAGATTTGGTTTCTTTTTCGACTTAAAAGTTTTAAAGTACCCTAGGCACATAAAATGATCAAATTAGAGCTTGGGTAGCAAACAAAACCAATTCAACTAAAATATAGATTTATAGAAGCTCAAAAAACCCAACTGAACGACTAGGCTCTATTTCTTCACAGAGCAACGAGAACCCTTATAACAAAATTCCTTCTTACCCTTCTAAAAGTAAGTTGAAAAACAATGCTGCAACCATTGATCAGTTAACGCCAGTTCTGTGGTTCCTCCAGTGAGCAATCATCATGATTAGCCAAACTGCAGTGCAAAATTTGAACTTTCCTAATGCAAGTATTGAAACTGTCACATGAGTCAATTCCAATTTCTGAACAAAACCGACCAAAAGTTTATACTCTTCTACAACTAGTTCAATCAAAAATACTAAACATGGATGTAATAAAATTCTAAATATGGAAATCAGAATCTTCCCAATAAGGCATTGTATTCATATCATTTACATTATGAGAAAATCTTAAAACTTAAAAGTTAAAGAAGCCCCCTTTTTTTTTACCTTAACGAGTGCCAAACTTGCTTCTCTCTTTTCTTTAGCTTTGCCTTGTTCCGTTGCTTAACTTCCAAATCTCTTGTGACATTATGTGACTTAAACAAGAACAAGCCAACCATCTTCTTAAAAGGAAGAATTTTGACACCTAAAACCCTTAAACCCTCGCAACCAGTCTCCAAACGCAAAACCCAGAAAATAGATTTAAAAAAAACAGGAAGCACACAACATTTCTTAATCTCAACCTCGTCAAAGTTTCCAACTTTAAACAAAAAGAGTATACCGCCATTGATGATGACGTGGCAAAATATACAAGTTTCCAACTTTAAACAAAAAGAGTCAACCACCATTGATGATGACGTGGCAAAATATAAGCGGAGATCAAATCTCCAGGTCAAAAGATCATAAAGTAATCTGGACCGTTCATATACGGTCAAATATCTGACCCATCTAAAACCCACTAAAATCATCTAATCAACTTTCCCGCCATGTTAATTCTAATCCCTAAAACCCTATCCTCTTCTCCATTTCTTCTCCAAAACCCTCTAAATGTTCGCAACTTCGAAGTTCGAAATCCTAAAGTTAATAAATTTAACTGCAAATTCGAGCTTCAAACCGAAAGGGGTATCGTGTTCGAGACTGGAGGGACCTTCTTTCAACATGAAAGTGCCAAAGGTCGAGACTTGGGGGTATTGGCTGCAAGTCTCTACAAGCAATCCAAAGGAAACTTACGTGTCTTGGATGCAATGTGTGGCTGTGGAATTCGGTCTTGCCGGTACCTAATAGAAGCCAAAGCAGATTTCGTATTGGCAAATGATGCTAATGATGAATACCGAGGGATTATTTTGGGGAATCTGAAGAAAGTGGAAAGAGGTTTTGGAGATGACAGGAGATGGGCTGTTTCGCATTTTGATGCGAATAGAGTCTTGACTGAATGTTATTTGCAGAGGGATTTTTTTGACTTGATTGATATTGATTCATTTGGGAGTGATTCTTTGTTTTTGAGGTCTGCAATGAGTGCTTTGAAATTGGATGGATTGCTTTATCTTACTTCTACTGATGGGTATTCTTCAGGTGGTCACCGGCCTCATTGGTCAGTGTTGAAACATTCCTTTTGAAGTTTTAATGTGGTTTTTATAAAATGAATATCTGCTGTTTGTTAAAATGTCTAGATAATTGTTATGCTTTTTATCTCATTACTGGCTTACAATATCTTATTGCTAGATTTATTACCATATTTCTAGTGGAGATGATTTGGTGAATAGTTCAAATTTTTTGGTTTAGAATTCAATGTGCTTTGTAATTTGTTTACTGTCCTAAGTTTATGGTAAAATTTTGTATTCATGTGTTTAGTTCTTTAGCTGCATATGGAGCATATATACGCCCCATGCCTAGTTGCAATGAGATTGGATTGCGAATGCTTATAGGAGGGGCTGTGCGGGAGGCATCTCTACTAGGATATCACGTTACTCCACTCTTTTCATACTACTCCTATCATGGACCAGTTTTTCGGGTCATGCTCCAAGTAAATAAAGGGAAGGATCACGAGAACAGGTGCTTTTTCTTAATGTTTAAATTGTGGCTGCTGTGTTATAGTTTTATGAGTTTCGTTATTTACAGTGGCATTACTATTCATGATAGGCATTATGGTTTCATAAGCTACTGCAACCAATGTGGAAATACTCAATCATTTTCTTGGGAAGAACTTGGTCAGAGTAGTTGCTCTTGCAATAGCAGTAACGTATATATCTTACTCTACAAACAATATTCTCTCTGATGACACTATTGATATTAAATTTTTTTTTTTTCCTGTTACCACCTCCGTTTTTGCTCACTCTTGGTGTTGTGCATGACAGCACAAGCATAGTTCTCATTGTTGCTTCTTAATACTATTAAAGTATATGCTAACATCGTATTCCTCTGTTTTTTTCAGGATTCTAGTCCGGTTACTGTTTCAGGACCCTTGTGGACGGGACCTCTTCATAATGCTACCTTCATCACCGAAATGTTAAATTTGGCTGAGCAATGGGGATGGATAGGCAATGATGTGGGAGCTGATCTTGATAAGCTTCTGAAACGGATGTTGGATGAAAGTGACCCCAGATTACCTTTTGGATACATCAAAATGGATGAGGTCCTAGTGCAAGTCCATTCTCCATTCATTTTGTCAGCTTTTGTTAATATGCTTAGGGGTGTAAATGAGCCAAGCTGAGCTCGAATCTGCCAGGTTCGAAGCTCGGCTCGATAGTATTTAGCTCGGTTCAAACTCGGCTCGAAAATCAACGAATCTAAAGATTTAAGCTCGGGTTTAGCTCGATGAAAGTTCGACTTGAAAAATTTTAAGTTCGAATTCGGCTTGAGGCTCGAGTAACCTAAAATAACATTTTATATATGTATGTGCAAAAGCTCAATAACGCTCGATGAGTTTTTGAACTGAAGTTCGAGCTCGGCTCGATTGCTAAACGAGCAGGCTCGAGCTCGAGCTCGATTCGAGCTGAACTTTTACGAACTCTTTTCGAGCCGAGCTCGAATAGCTTACGAGTCGGCTCGGCTCATTTACACCTCTAAATATGCTATACTAGGGAAATTTAAAATGCAAACTTTGTTAGTTATCCTTTTAACCGTTTTCAGATGGCGAGCCGTGGAAAAATTAATTCACCTTCATTAAAGACTATGATGAGCACCCTTGTCAAGGTATGCAGTTCCCTTGTAACATTTTACCATTATCTGTATGATAGTTTTTGCTTGTTTTAGAGAATTGAAATCTGACTTAGCATTCTTTTTCTCATAGTAAAACTTGCATATAAAGATACATGTTTCCTATTAAAAGATTCTGTGAGATTAGAGCTTATTGAATTCGTTTTTTTCAGAAGGGATACGCTGCTACTCGGTCGCACATTGCCTCTAATGCAATCAAAACAGATTGTCCCATGTCAATGTGCATTAGAATTGCCAAGGAACTACAGGGTGCTCAAAATTTTGAAGCAAAGTGATTTTAGAGCACATTTTGGTTATGAGATTGCATGTTCATTAGTAAAAAGATGTTTGGTTGGCCTAAGTTTGAAATTGGTATCGAAGGTAACGTAATGTATTAGTTTACATGTAAAGTATTGGTTTTCAGATAGGATTATTTTATATGTAGCTTAATCACATGCAAATGGTAAAAGTGCTGTAGAGGGAGAGACCCAATCTTATCATGTATTCTGCATAATTTTGACCCTATACTTTTAGAATGAAAAATTCAGAATAATTTTCGCGAACAGATTGAGATTCCTGCAATCCCATGTATATCAAAAGAAAATAAAAATATACGTAAAAAGAAAAAAAAAAGGTCACGGTGCCAATTAAACCGTCATTGTTTATGTTTTATAAGTGAATGTTCAACTTATGATAATAAAACCGTTCATCAACACAATTTTATTTCAATCATAAAGTGATGAACCCTTGGTATATTTACCAAATCAATTGGTAAACCTTCAACGAGCAGATTAGAAATATTGCATTTGCTAATGAATTGACGCATTAACAAACTAATTTTCATATATAATCACAGGGAACTTGCCTAATTAGGCTTTGGAATTATGATCATTTCAAGCCCCTTGAATAAAATCTAGTGCCCAAATTGTTGTTATTAGAAGATCCATATAACAGGACATCAAGAGCAATATGTTCCATGATAGGACTGACAAAGAAGAAATGAACAAAAGCACACACTAGTGCAGACAACCTGTGAACAGCTCGGTGGAGAGAAGGGGCCCTTAATATTTTATAATACATTAACACATCATTTTATTTCAATCATAAGAGTGGTGAGCGCTCTAAGCTGAAGGGCATTCATTTGCATACACTTCACTTGCATACTTCCAATTTATTACCTTCCATATGTTCTTTAGATAATCAGGTCTGACATTCTTGTACTGCATCATGGAAAAAGTATTGAAAGAGTCAAAAACAAATGAAAGAAGATGCAAATTTATAATTTCAGTGAGATAAGCAATAATTAGCGACTTCAGGTGTTTTTCTATTTTATGCATACCACACCTATCTATAAGCAGACCCAAGAAAGAGGAAAGGAAAAAAAAGTGCACTTAACTAGAAGTACTAGTTTGCAAATAGATTTTCAAAATTAGGCATGCTGGCAAGAAGGTGAGACCAGATGATAACCTACCTTTCACGTCTTGTCAAGTATATTTAAAATCATGAACTAAGAAGTGGCTAGAAGTACCAAGTAACCTCAACATGCTGATCTATGTACCAGTTAAAAAGCTATCATTGCTTGGCAATAACATAGACCAAGGCAGATAGAGGTTTTCACCAGTCATAGTACACAGATGACAACATTACTTCTTGACATTGTTTTCCTCAAACACTGTCAGCTCAAAAAGGAGGGATTTTAAATGTCTTCGATGCAATGATGCTTGCTACCCTACAAGTCAAGTTCTTTAACAGACACTTGTAAGATATTCTAGAGCAAACAATGCAACTACTAATACCCGAAGGTGCCAATCAGATGATAAAAAATCATGACAAAGTAATGCGCCAGAACACCATCTCAGTCGCATCTTCCTCAAACAGACAGAGAAATGAAGCTAAGCATTGCAAAGAAACTATATCGAACAATTTAAAGGCAAAAAGTTCACCTGTAAGTAGTATGCATGCTCCCAAACATCAATGCCAAGCAAAGGAACTAAAGTTGGTCCTTTAGTTACCAATGGGTCCTGTAGTAACAGTCAAAAAAACATTAAGTAACATTACTGCAAAATTGTAATTTTCAACAGGCTAAAAAGATTTTACCATCATGTAGAAAGTGACAAAATGTGTAGAGTTGATTTAAATATCTTACACGTTTCAGACCCTTAAAATTTCGATAATTGATGACTCAAGATATCAAAAGCAGTCCAACAAAAGATTCATGCTCATATGTAGCATGATAATGACACGTCTTAAAAAAGAACCGCACAAGCAATTCATAAAGCTTTCACCAAAATCCCATAGACATCAATACATAATTGAGAGATCTCACGTACAAGTAATACACTCTGTTCTACATAGGAATCTAATTAGTTGTCAGTTTATTATCAATGTTTTTAAACACATCAGGAATGAGCGGTTCATGAAAGCCCAAAAACATAATGAATAGACTTCTCAATAATAATTGCCAAGTTACCTGGTTTGCAGTTGTCTCAACTACAAGTTTCTTTGCTTCTTTGTCCAAACCAAGCCACTGTCAAGATCGAAAGATGTGAAAAAGAAAAGGCAAATGAGTTGACTGATAAAACCAATCTACACCAAATGTACAACAGAAATTGAAAACCATTGTTTGAAATACAAGAAAGCGAATAACTTACCACCCATCCAGATCCTTGGACAGCAGCACCTTCTGTGCTGATTTTCTGGATCAACTTTTCCAAAGAACCAAAATCTTCATCAATCGCCCAACCAAGGGAACCATGCGGAGGTTCACCACCTCCTTCCTGTTATAGTTGAAGGGTTAGGCAAGAAATCAAAAGAGAGAACTTATTAGGCAGACCCCAAAGGGAACTAAATGTCAGAAGAATAAACTCACACGAACAGGGGCGAGATTCTTCCAGAAAATGGAGTGGTTGATATGACCTGCAGGATAAATATTTCCTGATAAACTGAAAAAGTGGATATCTTGAAGCAACATTTAAAGAGTGTCAACAAACAAAACTTATGAAATCTCACGCTTATTATTTCAATATTTGACCACCACAATGAGGTTTACCAAAAGAGACACGGCAGCCCAAAAATTAAAAGGACAAAACACCAACAAAAAGTGAAACTATTTTACCCACAAAATTGCATGCAAGAATACCTTCATACAAATTAATAGTTGCATTTGCACTATTTTTGAAATGTAAAGAAGAAGACAACGCATTGACTATCGATGAAACTGTTTTGGCCCAACTTTCTTTCTCAATTAATCATGTAATTAGGTTATTCTTTTTTTGTTCTAGTCAATTAATCATCAAAAAACTTCAACTTTATCGAATAGACACAATCATATCCACTACTACTATCAATCAAATCAAGTCCAATAATAATCAAGAGAATTCAATACATCAAGTCAAGTAAATCCTACTCTACTCATGTTTTACAATAAAATCCAATAATAATCCCAAAAAAAAAAAAATCACTTCAAATAACCACTCAAATTATAATTTAATCAAAAAGAAAAAAGCAATCGATAATCTAACCTCCACCATTGAACTTGATGGCGCTCTGCAACTTGACAACAGAAGCAGAGTCCCCCTTATTCATAGCTTCATTGAGCAGCTCAAGAGACTTATTATAGTTAGTAATATAAGTCTGGTGGTGCTTTTGGTGATGAAGCTGCATTATCTCGGCACTAATCACGGGCTCAAGAGCTGAATAGTCGTAGGCAAGATCGGGGAGAGAGAAGGTTTTCAATCCTCGAAGTTGACTTAATCCTAAGCCTAGGAAAAGATTAGAATCCGCCTTGACAGCGGCGCCTAGGGCGGTTCTGGTGGCCAGAGAACGGAGAGCCATTGATTCGTCGACAGGAGTCGAATAGTGTAGCGAGTGAAAGAGCAGAAGAAGAAAATGAGGATTGTGGGTTTCCGATTTGGAGATTATGTAACCGAAAAAATGACAAAACCAATGGGCCGATTTCAAGTATCCAAGAACATAAAACCGTGGCTTATTGACGCCTGTCACATTACAAGAGCCACGTCAAACAGCACCGCCTGGCGGCTGCTATCTTCTTTTCCTTTCTTTTTTTTTTTATTTTTTGAATTTTAATTTTATTTTCTTATTTGACTTCACTAAATTAAATATAATTATTTTTTTTGAAAAAATTAAATATAATTATTCATAAATGTAAATTAAAAAATACATGTTAAATTATGATCTTGATTGTTTTTTTTATCTTTTTTTATCATTTTTTTATGAAAAATTATTATTAAATAAATAAAGGTATAACCAACAAGATGTTGAGGTAGTTAGTGATCTAAATCCACAAAACACAAGTTTGATCTCATCTTCGAGACAATATAAAAGGTCAAGAAAAATTATATTATATTTTGTCGTTTAAATTAATTAAAAAACTAGTTGCTACTGTGAAGATTTATATCTATAATTCTTTCTTTCTTGTTAAAAGATCAGCAAATTGTATTAATCATGATAATAAATTAGGTCTAATCCATATAATTATTTATAGGACGTCATATTATTATTAATGAATTATATTTTTTAAAATAAAAAAGAGGTTAAAGGTGTTTGGTGCACCAAAGTTAGATTTGTGCCATAAGCCTATTCGATTATACATCGAACCGAATCGAATTATTTATATACCCGCATAAAGTTAGTTTCATAATAAAAATTTCAGAACGAATGTATCAAGTTAAATAATCAAATAAAAAACCATTCTAGATAAGTTTGGTTCGAATTTTTATTAATGCAGGAATCCTAAAAGTTCCATTTTATTTTCAGCATCTACGTGAGCTGCTAAATAGTTCCAAGCTAGCAAAATAAGGTGGAAATTACACCACTTTAAGTACATAATTAGTGCTAATTAATCTCTAAAGACTTTCATTAGCCAACCATCTTTCTGCCATTTCAAAACACTCTTCAGCTTTGTATTCAGTAGCAAAATGACCAGCTCCCTGCAAAGAAGAAGAAGAAGTTCTTATAATAAAACTATCTGTTCATTTTCCAATTCCAATAATAACCATTTTAATTGTCAATTAAATGTTACCTTCACAGTTGCAAATGTCAAATTGAAATCACCATTAGTGAAGAACCTTACATATCTGCATTAACAAGTTATGTAGAAAGAAAAGTGAGTTTCCCATTTACAACCTTTTTTTTTATTATTATTTAAAAATTACACCTACCCTGCAGTTTCATTGTTAACAGACCAAGCTCTCCATGATTCCTCGAGAGTCAAATTGAGTTTCCATATCCATTTTTGTGTTGCAGAATACGCAATTTCCATGTCATGGTCACCACTGTAAAAAAGCCAGAGATGAAACAAAAACAAGCAAAGCAATTTCCTTTATTTTTTTCTGTCGTTTTTGTTTCGGCTCTGTGAAGGATGGCTGGATGAGATGAAGTAAAGTTTTGAACTTTTGATCATCTATACAACTAGCGCTTCTTCAACTTGCTTTCTAAATATGGAAAATCCAGACAAATTATGTTTCTATACTGAAAATGTTGTAGCAATTAATGTAAGAGGAAGAATTACCTATATATCAAACCTTTTAGGTTGGTGTTGGTTAAGTTATTGTAATAGCTGACAACACTTGAGGCTTTCTCAGTATAAGCAGGGCCAACTATAATCGAGTCATTGCAGCTTTGCCAGAAGTGAGGCGTGCCCGGATCCTAATTAACATTAAAAAGAAATGAGTTTGCTAAGTTACGTCTATTAACCTTCACTACCTTGCATTATTTTAATTGCATATATCGTATTTTTATGCGTACCTCCTGATGAACATGAAGAACTTCTTGGACAGTCTCATCGTTTGCCCAGATTGAAAGGATCTGGAGATCATATTTCTGAATACAAGAGAACCAACCTTTAGTTTTATGTAGGAAACTTGCATTTGCACGTATGGATACAAACATATGACTCTAGGCAAGTCTAATCCTTAAAAATCATATTTTGTTATTTTATTGCATACTAAGTAAAAAAGAGAGAGAGAGAAATTTACACGACACCAAAAAGTAGGAGGATCAGATAAAGGATGAGTGGGGTTTTGTTCGAGATATCTTCGAGCAGATTGTTCGCCAATTTGTGGCAGCTTGAGATAATTTGGTACACTTTTACAAGCTGGCTCTATAACTTGTACAGGATTAATGTTCCTGGTTAGCTGCAGATTTAAAAATGGTCATTTCTTAATTTCCAATTTCATGAGTGCATGTATATAGATCTTATAGATATGTGACATTAATCTAACCTCTGACATAGCATCCACAAGTGTCTTACAAACATCATTTGGTGGGTTTGTGAAATTTCCACTGCAAGACTCATCAGCAGCCTTAAAAAATGTAATATAATTAAGATCAACACGAGAAATGATTAGTTTTATTATAGATAAACGACAGGATATATATCGATAATGTGTTTAAAATCACCTCGTAGAGTTCATCCGGTACAAATCCTATTCGGTTAGCAAAAGTGTGTCTTCCATTGAAATCAATGCTAAAATCTGCTCCAGGATTTCCAAGCATATAACCCTACTCATTGCAAGAAAGACAGAAGTAAGAGCCACTATCCCAAAGAGATTTCAGGTTCATATCTCAAAAAATCATGAAAAGAAAAGACCATATTTTAACTATTGTACTAATCTCACTCCTTCTCGAAATTCGGACCAAAACAACAACTTGGATTAACAATTAATTGGCTTGAGTATACCTTAATATTCAAGAAAGAGATATTTCCAGCTTCATTGCCTGCATCCATATATTTAAAAGAAAACAAAAACAATAAATAAAAAAAATATTTGGAAAAATATAAATTTAGATTAATTCTTAATTCACATTCATCAGTGATAAATCTTACCATCTAGAACTGTTTGTGTAACCACTGGAATCAAATTGCCAGAATATCCATCACCACCAAAGTAAAATGAGTTTTCAGAAAATTGAGGATGTTCCAGCAACCACTGCAACGATAATCAAAATTAAACTCACTCGCTAATTAACATTATATATTCAGATAACAATTAATTAACTCTTTCTTCGAAATATATATTTCCACATACCTGCTGTAGAAATTCATAGATTTGCTTAACAAATATGGAATCGCCACTTTCATAAATTTCTGCTGTTGTTCCATAGGAATATCCAGTTCCAATCGGTCCATCAAAATATATTATGCTAAGGCCCTGAATTTCCAATGAAAAAAAAATTCATCAAACCACAATTTTTCATATAGAATGTGCATATGTATAACCAATTATTTAACCTTTGTCCATGCATAGCCATTTAACAGAAGCTTTGGCAAGCTTCCATCCCAACTGTAGTTATCAGTATCAAGCTTCACAGGACCTACAATAATGTTCAGAAACATAATAAATCTAAGTTCGGTGAACTGTAATGAAATGTAATTTAACGTAATTGAATCCATTTTTAGTGTTAAAATAGTGATACCATGTGAAAGGAAAAATGCCCTGAGACTAGAGCAACCAGGGCCACCAGTGATCCAAAAGAGAATAGGGTCTTCTGCAGAATTCCTTTGTGACTCAGCAAATAAGTAGAAGTATTGTGCAGTGTCATTTTCTACACCAACATATCTATACAAACATATTAAAAAGTTACTAAGTTTATATTTACTAACAGAAAATATTAATAGTTCAAGAGAAAAATAGCAAATTGATAATTACCCGGATTCAAGATTGAATGGAAGTTCACCATCATAACCTGGTAAACTGGTAATGTTATACTTTACTCCTAAGACAATCTTTGCCAATGAAAATAACACAACAAGAAAAGGCAAACCCATAATCAAGAAGATTTATGATTAAATGTTCTGACTAATGCTTAATGAGTCTTTGCTTGGTGCCAATATATATAGGCTCAGTTGGTAGAAGATGGTTTAAAGAAACGATGCATTGCATCTTAATTAGGCACCATATGAAAAAGGTTTATAATTATTATATGCCTGCGTTTTGAATAATGAGGTTTGAATAATGTGTTTTGAATAAGGTTTATAATTATTATATGCCTGCGTTTTGAATAATGAGGTTTGAATAATGTGTTTTGAATAAGGTTTATAATTATTATATGCCTGCGTTTTGAATAATGAGGTTTGAATAATGTGTTTTGAATAAGGTTTATAATTATTATATGCCTGCGTTTGAATAATGAGGTTTGAATAATGTGTTTTGAATAAGGTTTATAATTATTATATGCCTGCGTTTTGAATAATGAGGTTTGAATAATGTGTTTTGAATAAGGTTTATAATTATTATATGCCTGCGTTTTGAATAATGTGTTTGTCGTTTTGTGGAATGTGAGTTTTTCTTGTCCCAATTAGGTGATAACATCCAAAGTATCTAATATTTTTTGAATTAAGTCCTCCAATTTTCACACGTTTTGAATATTTATGCTCTTTTTAAGAAAGAAATAGTATTGATTATTGGCTTCGAGGGAGTTTTGTGATAAACTTGAGTATTTTGAGATCAGGTTGTAGTTGCAGACTTGGAGTTGTAGTTGGATTTTCTTACCAAGTTGTAGCTGTACGCATGGGAATGATCAGTTCAATTACTCATTACCCACTAAGAACAAAATGAGACCACGTGAATGTACTTTTTTTGTTCGTTATAATCAGAGGTGGAATCCCCTCGAGCCATAGAATTTAAAGGTTTTTGCCCCTTCTAGCAGAATGCGTTTTCCGGAAATCGAACTTGTGTTCTTACGGGTAAGATATTAAGATCGCTTACCACCGCAACAACACATTTATCACAAGTCTGTGTTTGAGTAGATCACAGGAAGTAATCAAGGAAATATTAACCTGCACATCAATCAATACAAGACTGTGTTAATTATTCTGGAAGCAAAGACAAGATCAAGAAAACTAGAAATGTGTCTAATTTTAGTAATGGCAGTAGATACTAAGATAATGAATGGAGATCATAGCTCAATCTAGAAAGAGAAAGAGCTAGAGATAAAAAAGGAAATACATATAATTACTAAGGTTTTTTTTTTTTTTTTTTTACACCTCAAATTAGCTAAGACTGATGTTATATGTCATATCTGGAATCATGCACATAATCCGGACAACGATCAAGAACAAAAATTAGCTTAGAATATGTGGTCGTATTAATTTTAGTTAAATGGCTGCGAGTAAGCCATACTCAGGAGCAGGGATAAATGAATGGAGATCATAGCTCGAATCAATTAGAACAAAGGACCTCAGAAAGAGCTTAGATTGGATAAACAAACAAAATGGCGTGGAAATACATATAATTGACTAAGGTTTTTTTTTTTTTTTTGTTTTATTATACGATACAAATTTCTGGACCGACCTTTTTTTTTTTTTTTTGTTTGTATTATACGATACAAATTTCTGGACCGACCCGCTAGAACAATCTTAGCAAGAAAAACAAATTAACAGACTCTCCTGTTATTCAGGGACTACTTTTAAGGACAGGAAGAGAGAAGAAAGGGATTAGTTATAAGTAAAGAGACAATAAGGGGCTACCACTATTAGACAACTTCTTTCATTTTCTTATTATTTTTCAAGATATAAACCTTTATTTTCTGGGTTTGTTGCCAGTTCTGCATTCTTTCTGCCAGGAATATTTTCGGGAAAAAACCTGGGTCCGAAAATATGGTTAGAAAGAATGCAGAATTGGCAAGGATAGATCCAGACAAACTAGACAGTGTTTTAGTGGCAATAGACAAGGATAAAGGAAGCCAATATGCCCTTAAATGGACTGTTGATCATATTCTCTCCAGGGGTCAATCTGTCACACTTCTACATGTTAGACAAAAGTCACCATCCCCATGTATGATTCTTTTTTGATTTATGAAAATCTTGTCTCTGTAATAATTTTGTGAATTTGACAAGAAAATTTTGTATCTATATGTTTATACATGTTCATTTCCCACTTTCTTTCACAATAAAAGAGAAGGATGACATTTACAGCTTTTAAAATAACATTATTCTCATTACTATCATTTTCCTGGAAAATTGATAACTCCTCTTTTATTCCCTGAAGGAATTGTAAAAATGTATAACACCAGAATCTCATCACGTGAAGGAGGTAGTAATTTGTTATCCAAAAGAACTTAAAACTTTCCATTTTATTTTTGGAGCTGCAGTGGGAGATGTTAATGAAGCTGTTGCAAGAACTCATAGCAAACAGCTTGAATCTGAAGCCAGAGAATTGTTCCTTCCATTCCGCTGCTTCTGCACGAGGAAAGATGTGAGTTATCTTCTGCTTCTCTGTTCATTCGCGTTCTTCTCTCATCAGCAAAATTGTTATTTGCAAATACTGTAATCGACCTGTTAATCTCGTTATTGATCTTTCATGCAGATAAAATGTCAGGAAGTCATAGTTGATGATACAGATATAACCAAAGCAATAGTAGAATATGCTACTTCACATGTAATAGAAACTCTAATACTTGGTGCACCAACAAGAGGCCTCCTTGCCAGGTATATACCATTTACGAGGTCCACCATTTTAGCTTATATATGACAATCAGATGATATATCATGGCAACTGTATAATCTTCCTCTCTTTAAGAGATGGGTTTTGATGTGATTACCTTGTGCGATCTGCACAGAAGATTCAAGAGCACAGATGTTCCAAGCAATGTGTCAAAAGCTGCACCAGACTTCTGCACTGTATATGTGATCAGTAAAGGAAAGGTTTCTGCTGTACGGTCAGCTAGTGCTCCAGCACCACCAAAATCTACTCCTCAAATTCAGAAAGTTCATTCTCTAGTTGATTTACCTCACAGAACGAGCCAAATTCCTAGAGGTTTCCTTATATAAGTAGCATCATGCCATTTTTAACCATAACTGGGTTTTCTCATTGCTCATAAGCATTTTATCTATCTATCTCTTTTACAGAACCAGAGAGAGCAGTCACACTGCATAGCCTTTGTGAAGATGCAGAAATTATCAGGTAAATTTAATAGATTAACTATTCTGAGGTAAAAGGGTATATAATGATGATCTTCAATTTATCAACATTTAGTAAATAATTGAGGCTAATTGCAGAATTAACTTCTAAATTAATAAATGCGTCTTCTTGTTTCTTCCATCAATGACACAGCATATACTTGCCTACAAAATTGGAACAGGTCTCCATTTAATAGAACTAGAGGTTCAATTGGCAAACCATACGATCCTTACCCATCAGAAATGGATATATCATCTATAAGCAGTGGGGGGCCATCCTTGGATCGTATGCATCCAGCTTTCTACGAAAACTCAGAACCTGAAATAAGCCCTAGGAAAAGTGGCATAGACTACGATTTTAGAAGCTTTGGGTCAAATTATTCAGCAGGAACATCAACAGATATTGGTTCACAATATAATTATTCCGGATGCAGCTCACAGGACAGTGGGCAACCATCTTGGTATTCACAGAACATAGTAAGGACATAACTCAGAAAAGAGCATCAGCTACATCTGAATGCATAACATGAGATTTATTTAATAAGATAAATAGAAGGTAGAAACTAATGGATTTTTCATTCACAATTTATAGGAAGGTGTGGAATCCGAGATGAGGAGACTCAGACTGGAGCTGAAGCAAACGATGGACATGTATAATACAGCATACAAGGAGGCAGTCTCAGCAAAACAGAAGGTACTTATGGTTAAAATCTAGCTTTTCATACTTTATTTATTTACACTAATACAAATGAAATTTGTCGTTGAGCAATAATTACTAATAACATTATGACAAAATCTCCTCAGACTACGGATTATCAACGCTGGAAAATTGAAGAAGAACATAGATATGAGGAGGCACGAATGGCAGAGGAAGCTGCATTGGCACTAGCAGAGAAGGAGAAAGCAAAGAGCAAGATAGATGCCGAAGCAGCTCAAGCGGCTTGGAAACTGGCTGACCTGGAAGAACAAAGAAGAATAAGTGCAGAAATGAAAGCTCTCAAAGACATTGGGGAGAAGCAGTCACGGGAATCTTGGGTGCCAACTGATCTTAGGTACCGAAGGTACACTGTTGAGGAGATTGAAACAGCAACGAAAGACTTCTCAGACTCTCTCAAGATTGGAGAAGGAGGTTACGGCCCAGTTTACAAGTGTTACCTGGATCATACAGAAGTTGCCGTTAAAGTTCTAAGTTGTGACGCAGATCAAGGAAAGTCACAGTTTCAGCAAGAGGTTTGAAACTTCGCTAATCAAGATTAGACTTTCTTCAAAATGATAGATGTTTTAATCTCAATTATAATATTAGGCGACTTCATTGCAGGTTGAAGTGTTATCCCGCATACGGCATCCAAACATGGTTCTCCTCCTTGGAGCTTGCCCAGAGTATGGTTGCCTGGTCTATGAATATATGGCAAATGGCAGTTTAGATGATCGTATTTTCAGGAAAGGACACACCCCATCTCTTCCTTGGCAAATGAGATTCAGAATTGCGGCAGAGATTGCCACTGGGCTTCTTTTCCTGCACCAAACCAAGCCAGAACCTCTAGTGCACCGTGACCTAAAACCTGGAAATATTTTACTCGACCGTCATTTTGTCAGCAAGATTAGTGATGTTGGCTTGGCAAGACTTGTCCCTCCATCCATAGCTAATTCTGTTACGCAATATCGCATGACTTCAACAGCAGGAACATTTTGTTACATTGATCCAGAATATCAACAAACCGGAATGCTCGGGACAAAATCTGATATTTACTCACTTGGGATCATGCTTCTGCAAATAATAACAGCCAAGCCACCAATGGGTTTAGCTCATCAAGTTGAAAGTGCCATTGAGGATGGAACTTTTCTTCAGGTGCTTGACCCAACTGTTCCTGACTGGCCTCTAGAGGAGACCTTGAGTTTTGCCGAGCTAGCTCTTCAATGTGCAGAACTAAGAAAAAAGGACAGACCGGATCTCGGGAAGGTCATATTACCTGAGCTTAACAGATTGAGAGAACTTGCAGATGCAAGTATGCCCTACTTCATGTTTGGAGGTATATCTAGCACAACAAGTACAATAAATCACAGGCATATTTCCTCACTTCAAGTGAGTTAGTCATCCTGCAGATTTTTTGAATTGAATAAGCATATTCATTAAAGAACCTCATTTTTTCTAAGAACGAATATTTACTAATTGCATAGCGTTCTACAGCTACCATGACCTTTGCAAATTTTGTAATTCACTTATTGACTGACTGACTTATTGGCTGTCAGGAGACGATGAGTGATGTACCACATTCTGCATCTGATTTCTCAAGCTTTTCAAGTTCATCATCTTATGGCCGTAGAAGACAATAGTTACATCTGGATGATACTTAAAGTTCACAGTGGTTGTGCCTGGATCACCAAACTTGAGGAAACAGGTCCAACCTAATAGTCAGGGAAAGAAACCTAATGTGGTCCAACAGAAAGAAGTGAAATAACTATGTAATTTTGCTTTACTTGTAATTATTTTTTGTTTCATCTCCAAGATACTCCTGTGAATACAGTTTGAGGTTGTTTCATCAAGTTTGATCTCAACAGGGTCAGGTTTGGGTGAGGGAGTATGTGGAAAGGGGAACACTACCCTGATTCTGTAATTCAGTAGGGTATCAGAACAACCATTTTGCTTCTTTACTTAACAAAGAATACATTGTTTTTGCGAAAGAATACATATTTTATATAAAGGGTACTGTTAAAACATATTCGGAAAGTATCATTGATTGGTTTCTGTGCTATAGATGTATAGAGACCATTGCTTCACCATGTAATGTTTTGTAATTGTAATGCATATTTTTGTTTTTCATTGATCATGAGTATAATATGGCAGGGTACAAAATAATTAAAGCACTTTGTGTTCAACGCATCCAGAACCTTGAATTCCTAGTCAGTAATCTTAAATTTTGGATTTTTTTAAGAAAATAAAATAGCTATGGAAAATACTAAAGAAAAGAACTTTCCCTTGTTTGGGAAATGAGGAAAATGATGAAGAAAGTAAAAGTTTTCTTATTTTCCACCTGAACTTACATACTTGGATCCTCTCCAATCTTAAGAGAAAATCAACTAAAAAACAAAGTGGTACCAGGAGTCGCATCTGAAGCTGAGCCTTGGAGTGATAGAGAGAGAGAGAGAGAGAAAGAACACTTAGAGGACAAAAAGAGAACGTCGGAAGCAAAGATTAAGAACGATGAATTGGATAAACAGCATAAATAGAGGAAATTGAAGACACAGATTTCAGATTTTTAAAAATATAATGAAACTTTAGCATGGGTTAAGAGAGTGGACTTTGATCACAGAGAACCATCCACACTTAAGCCTGATGGATATCATGACCAATTTGGGTAATCAAATCCTTAAAAAACTTCTTCATGGTATTACCTCTATGCCAAGTAATAGAGAACTAATGAAAATATAGACTTTTTTTAAAAAAAAAAAAAAAAAAAAAAAAAGATTGACCACTGGGCTTTACTGTAACTGATTCTCGACATAGCCTCAACCAAAAGCCAAGAGGCACAAGAAAAACCTCCATAAGGCACCGTTGAACACTACAAAAAACACGTGTATTTCGCAAAAAAAGTATTTTTACTCTGACCACTGTCTCACGTATTGTATTTTGGTCAAGGCACAAAGTTAGATTAAATTGAGATTGTTGGGACGAGAACCACTTTCTCTGGCGCACTAAAAGGCTGTGGTTACCCTCATCCATAGCAATCTGTTTGTATTCTGCGCCCAAAAAACATAAGTGGACAGCTGTCAAGAAATAGACTTCAACCAAAGCAATACAAGGGGAAATCATAATTTACGTTGCTTGCTTCTACAAAATGATTCCAGAAAGCTATATTCTAACACAACACTGTGAACAAGTGTAACTTGTCTTTCGAGTGCACCCAAAATGATCTGAATATTGCTTCACTCATTCGGACTCTCTCTCATGCTTTAACTGCAAATAAAAAATCAGCGCCAAGCCCACTACTCCACTATGGGAGCACCTTTTAGCCTCATCTTTCTAAGTTGCCCAAACTGGCGCAATTGAGGATGAACTTGTTCCTTTCAGAATATCGTTCGCTACTTGGTACCCTCTCAACTGTTCCTCTGTCGGTGCACTCTGGCCTCTAGAGGAGGACCGCTTGAGTTCTTTCCGCGAGACTTATGGGCCGTCCTTTTCTCACTCATGTCCGTTGCCTCCATGAATATTCGGTGCGATACAGGTAATGAGACAAGAGCGGATCAGAGGACCAAGGAATCAGTCCCGGGGAACGTGTTCATAATTACCTGAGGCTTAACAGAGTTGAGAGAAAACGGTTAGCGAGATTGCAGACGGCTATGGGCCCCCTTTTATGCGTGTCCATGTCTTTTGCTCTTCTGATGGTGCTAGTAAATTCTCAGACGACATTGAAGAAACAAAGCTTAGCATTTTTTCAAAAATCCCCCAAGGCAATTCCTACCTTTCACTCGAGCGTATTCAAGTTGAAGATGTAGTCTCATATTCCCATTTGCAAGACTTTTTTTGTTGAAATTGAATATATATATACGTTCAGTAGTCTTCTATTTAAAACGAAAAACAACTCATTTTTCTCTTACGTAAGCAAGAATTCGCAATAGATTGTGCACTCTCATGGCCATTTCTTAAGTCGCATAGTTCTCATACAACCTTAATAAGCCAATTATTGGATCGCCTTTGCAAAAATTTGTAATTTCATTATTTGAAGCTGGACTGGACTATGGCTGTCAGGGAGAGAGTGGAGATGGTACCCAGTACTCACCACCATCTCCTAGCTGGTGCATTCTTTGGCACATTTCATGCAAGGCATTATTGTTCATAAGTTCATTCAGTTGCTTGATGGCCGTAGGCGAAGAACAATAGTTACATCTGCGGCCATGATTAGCCCAGTTAAAACTTACTTTTCCCAACTGTTGCGATTTAGATGCCTAGGATCTACCCGAAAGGCTTGACAGACGGGAAACAGGTTTTGCCAACCATGAATATAAGTTCCATTGCCGCAGGAAGCACAGGAAAGCCTAGCAATTTATGGTTGGGTCCACACGAGAGATTCACCAGGAAGTGTGACCTAACTCTCATATGAAAATTTCCCACTACTGTTCGTAATTTGCTGGCATCTTTACTTGTAATTATTTTTTGGTTTGTCGACAATTATACTTCCAAAAGAAGATTAGCTCACTGTCTGTGAATATTACCACCAAGTTGCGATCGAGCGCTCTTGTTTCCACTCCAATTGACAGTTGATGGAATCTGCAACTCCTCAACATCATCGTTTTCTTGTGTTCCTTAGGTTTTGGCTATTTTTCAGAGTGAGCTGCGACGGGAATAGCCTTATGGGGGACGAGAGCGGGTTAAGTCCTATGTCGTACCCCTGACCTTCTCGTAATAATGTCAGTCCGAATGAGAGTAGGGCTGCAAACCTTCTTGCAGCTCCCGGCCTAAACCCTTGCCATACTGCCAATTTCATCTTCTCTCATCTTTCCTGAGGAAAGAGATGCTCCGATTTCTATACTGCACTTTTTGCTCTTTGGTGGTGGATTTTTGCATTCAATATTACTGCCCCCTGGAAAAACCGAGGTATCAAGATGAAAAAAACAACCATTTGTACTGTCCGCCAGCTTAAGTTACGCTCTCCGTTAACTGTTCTACACGTTCAACACTACACTACTGAGAAACATGCTTTGTATCTGTCACCACACTGTATCCCCACGGTAATTTTCACTTTTCTGTGTTCAGCAGTGGATGGGAACTGGCACTAAAAGTGGAGCCAAAATGGAGTATATCTTCCAACCAATAAAGAGCATAGTACTATATAGATATCAAGCACAATGTCATATCAATCTAAACCCAGGCTTACCTGTGTTTTACCGACAGACTCCCGATACGATGAATTCGGGAATAAAGTGATCATTTCTTTTGCTGTTATATTGAGTTACATAGTTTTGCTCCTCATTTTTGTGCTGATTCTCGATCATAGAAGGTACGCATTGGGCTATTTCCACCAATGTAAGCACTGTTTTTGTTACCGAAACCATTGTGTGATTGCTTGATTGGACTTGTTCTCGAATGCTGCGGTTTTTCGATTTCTTATGGTACTGACTCTATTTTAAAGAACTTTATAGAAAACAGTCATATTGGCTTCCAGAGCGGTACAGGAAACATTAATCACATACTCTCAAATGCGTGAAGATCCAATTCATATTTGTCGCGACTCCATTCTCACCGATTAAAAACGCATCCAACGAACCATTTAGGTATTTGAATTTCTCGGCCTTACCGATCAGTGTGTGAATACTTAAATGTTTGGGAGTTTTTTTTATACTAGAAAAAATGTACAAATACCGAGAAAGTAGCTATCGTGAATTAAACTACATGTAGAAGGATAAATGATACCTTACACTTCTTCTTTGCCGTCTTGTATATGGGGTTTAAGAAAGTGTAGGCGAAAAAAGATAAGAGTAGGGAAAAGAACTATACGTGCACTATTCAAAGTTTTTCTTATTCGTCTCATCCACCTCTGGTAATACCTTAAACAACATACGTTGCGAATCTCTCTTGAATCTCACCTTAAATCTTTAACAACACTTGAGTAGAAAAATCATATAATCTAAAAACGCAAAGTGCTGGCACTCTGAGGGCAACCAGAGAGTCGCAATACGAGTGTGACAAAGCTATGAGGCTCTCACACTGGTGGATGATGAATAGAGAAGAGAGCGGCATGATGCTAAACTGAGATGTAGAGGAGCAGTGACCATTAGAAGCATCTTTAGTAGATCAGAGGGACCAAAAATCCCAGTATGCGGAAATTGAAATCGAAAGCGTCGCGCGGGTAAGCCGCAAATGTGATTATTACATGTATGGACCCAGACAATGCATGGGAATTGGCTCAGACTAAGAACTAGAATGGCGATTGAGCAATAGAGGAAATTTGGGAAGGACGATCACACACTTTCACAGCGATTATTGTTGTAGGCAGACACATTATCTACTTTGAACATTGGCATGTTCTCCAAACACTTTCTTCAAAGCATGGGCTATGCACATATCGTCAAGTTCTTTGGGTCGACTTTTGATCAGCATGGTAGGAACCACCATCTCTACACCTTTATGAAGTGGACTCTGAAGTATGGATATTTCGCACTTCCGGGGCAAACTCAAGTTTTTGATGGGCGCACGGAGATAAGGCATTCTGAACCCATCCTTAAAAAAAACTTCTTCATGGTATTACCTTTCTATTGCCAAGTATAGACAAGTAGAATAGGTTCAGACAACTCACATATATCAATATTGATGAGCGTATTTTATATTTTATATAGACACGTTAGTAAATTACTACATATTGTGAACAACAAAGGACAAAAAAAAAAAAATTGCAAAAAGTGACTATTTTATTCTTGGTTGTCTTAGAAGCCAAAATGCACACCCTAAATTTAAAACCCACACGGTTTGACAAGTTTCCTGGAGAGTCCAAGTCAGGGCAATGTGATGGCCATGCGTCCAAGGAGGGAAACACATATCTTCGGTTTGTCCTACCAAGCCAAATATGCGTGAGGCTATCGTCACGTATTTTATCCAAAAGTCAATAGTATTGCTCACAAGGCAGGCAGCACGAGAGCGGGGAAAGTACGTCTTTCGGAAGAAGTCGCAATGCTCGTTATTTTTGATAAACAGTTTCTAAAATATCCGCCATAGTTGAGTACCTATAATATCTACCACAAAATAACTGAGTGTGAACTTGACTCTTGCCCATTCGTGATATATCTTACCCAAAACCAGTAGGCAACAAATGCGGGTTCAAACATGCC